CATGAGAGTTTTAAATAAAACATGATAACATGAGATTGATTTAAAAAAACATAAGATCTCAAGCAAAAGCATGAGACCTGGCAACATTGCACAGTAATGTCACATTCGCGTCGCTGTTCACGATTCCCAGTACCAACCACTTCCAACCATGGGTAGGTTGGGAGTGGTTGGTTACCAATCCTGTACAACAAAAATAATTACATGGTGCATAAGAATTGTCATCCAAATACGACAACCCCAATATTACAAAAAAACATGGTTTTGATGGTAAAATTTAAACATTTCTGTTAAAAATAAGAATTTCGGCGAAATAGGTAAAATTACACTGGTTTAGGCAGTAAAATGTACAAATTAGGTCCATTTCTTTTTTTTTATTTTATTCAATTGCACCTAAAGTTGATTAGCGTAGACAAATAGGTAATAACACTAAAATCCAATCTCCAGTAATAACTAAACCTTCTTAGAATTACAGTTTCTTTTAAAATTTTATTTTTTACTTACAACCTACTAACCCCACTAGCTCGTGTTTTTAAGTATATTATGTATACTTACTAAATATTTTTAAAATACTATTTTTATGTACTTGCAAGTAAATATATTATTATTATTTGTAAGGGTCCTGTGGTACATAAACTTTTAAATTCAAATTTGGCGCTATTTTAACCAAGGGAAATTTAAAATAATCCACTAAAAATATAATTATAGTTTTAAGTTATTTTATGTTTTAAAAACCTTGAGTTTTAAAAGATTTACTTCTTTGTATCTGTACCTAGAAATATTAGGGGGAATTGTTTAGATCTCATATTTTTGCTTAAGTGGTTTGTGAAATATATTATAATATAGCTATAGTTTTTATGATTGTTACCGATTTTCTGCTATAACTATAGGTATGTACACTTTTATAAATTGTAATATTTGCTAGTAATGATAAACAACTCCTCGTTTTGGGTTTTCCTAATACATTTTTGCTTATAATTTTGAACAATATTATTTAATTCGCATTTTGGTCTATGACGTTTATCATTGCTAGTTTATTGGGTCCTAATCATTTTAATATGTGTAAATAGCGAGTGATTTTTGGTAATATTTTTTTATTGTATCACTATTTTATTATTTTGGTTTAATATCTTGGGATCGCACATACACTGAGTTCCAATCTTTATGTTGTCGCATTCACCATATCCACTGAATTACATTTAACTTAAATTTTAATATTTTGTATTGTCTTCATTTTAAGTTACACTGGCCTTGATCTTGTTGTTTCCTTTTGTATAACTTTTTATTTAACTGAAATGTATTTTATTGTTTATGAAACTCAGTGTATCATCTCGGTATTAAGGTATTTATTTATTTTAACTCTTTGCATTTGTACTCAGGCTAAAGCTTTTAACAATTATATTACTATTATAATATTGGTATTATTTGGGTAAGGTTTCTTGTTATTATTATTATTATTATTATTATTAAATTTGATGTTACCTAATGGTCATATCATGGTAAGGTAATACGTAGTATCGTTTAGCCTTTTGATAGATTCTGGATAGGTATACCTATCTCTATAGAGACTTTGATTTAAACTGCTTATCTTAGCGCTTTATTTGGAATATTTGATAATGACTTTAACGTTACTTTATATGATAAAAATCTCTTTATATTATTATCCAGCGCGAAACTTTCTGGTGGTTAGAGTTCGGGCCATGTTTAGGTGTTTTTTGTTATGACGCTCTCCTATTTATTATTTTATTGTATTTTATTTATATTTTATACCACTTTATTTTATTGCATATTGTTTATTTTATTTGTGTCTATATTTGTATTTGTGTTTTCGTTTGGAGAGTGCTCATGCATGAATATTTGAACATGGGTAATATATTAGCATTATTTCAAAAGGATTTATGGTGTTTTTATGTTATTACCTACATATACTCTGGGTGCAGAATTGTTTGTATATTTTCACAATACTGTTGTCTTGTGCTGGACATTGATTTTGTGAGAATATTTGAACATATTGTGATATAGGGATACTATAGTGAGATAAGGACATTAGGTTTCGTTATATCACTTCACAGAGATGCTATTGTTCCATAGTGTGGTTATTGGCTACGGTTAAATATCTGCACTAGATTTTATTTTTCCACACAGAGAAAAGTAATCTCTTGATTTAAGAAAATGCATTTATTTGAAACAGTTTTTCTTGTATGAAGTAAAATTGTCTTATTCGTAGTAACTTCTTGTTTACAATAAGAAATTACTATTATTTGGTTGTACCTAAATCATGAGTTTCTTGAAAACAACTTATTGTTGTAATTAATTGTAAAGAAATATTTATTTAGAGCAATTAATTAAATTGTTTGGATATAGGTTGTATAGATTTAGTTTTATCAAATGTTAATACAAGCATATAATATCTTATTTTAACAAAATAATAGAATTGATACAATGTATGTCATATAATTAACGTAAACACGTGATTTGTTTGTTTCAAAAATACATTTACTTGAAGCAAATACATATTTATTTGCTTTTATGTCCACGTGACTCGCGGAGCTAATTAGAGCATTTGACTCCAAAGACAAAGACGCTTGTCCGGCTGCCGGCAGCATTTGCAAACAAACTCGCAGAGCGTCCTTGGCAAAGCGTTAAGACTCTTAACTTAAGAGAAGGAGGTGTTTAATCAACGGTTATAGTTTTGTGTTTAAGTGCTTATGATTAATAGTATGGAAGAATTCTTCAAAGAAAATAATTTAACCCATTTGCTTTTTAGTTTTGTTGGTAAGTAAAAGTGATTTAGTTAATTAAAATTTTGTGTACCTAGGTAGTTTGGAAACTACAAAGTTATATGATAATATGGGTACCTATGGGTACCTATTTTATTTTGGATCATGCATGTCTCAGACTTGACTTGTTACTTTTAAATATAATTGTACATTTTACTTACAGGCCCTAAACTAAAAATAAACCGTTTCTTTTTGTATTTGACAAGTGCAAGTAATTTTGGTTGGCAAACTATATGTATTTGTTTTTAAACTATAGGTACCTACCTAGGTAGGTGTTTTCAACAAAGATACCTATCTGATAATAATAAATTAAGTTTTTGAAAATGTTCAAATGTCCCATAAATATATTTCCTGAATTAATGCGAACACGTTTAAGGTTCTGCTGAAAAATTGCTTGTTTTGACTTATCCTCTTATGACTTTTACCCACAGACTTGGTGTATTTTATTAATGCCGTGCACTAATATTTACACTGAACTTCAGTGACTGAAGTATTTTTTGTTCCTATTTTTGTCCGCTCATATATTATATGTTTTGTTTATTGTTAATTTTATATTGTGTGTTTTTAATGTTTATTGTAAATTGGTACGTATTTACAACAAAACAAGTGTACACTTGTTTTGTTCAAATAAAAAATATTGGAATAAACGTTTTTTAATTTAATTTTCCCGACCAAATATCAAGTAATTAACAACATTAAAATAAATAAATCATAGTATTAAAACAAGCAAACATTTGTTTGGTTCAATCACTATATATTTCGTGAAATTATAATATTAAAAGGTACTAATTATTTGTCTGATATAAATTGTTTTCTTCATGTAAGTAAATATTTGGTTTCTTTAAGAAAGCTTCACATTTAATTTAAAAAAATGAATTACTTACTTCAAGTAAATGTTTTGTTTCTTTAAGTAAGATTCTACTAAACCTGAGATAAAAAGCCAACTAAATATTTACTTGTATTAAACAAACCATCAGTTTAAAAAGTCAAATAAACCCAAGTTTTCCACTAAATAAATATCTTCTTGTATCATATCGAAATAAATAATTTATTTGAGTCAAGACAGATATAGTAAAATCAAGAGATTACTTTTCTCTGTGCATGTTTCCCTCCCCTTTAAAGGCATTTGAATTCTCTATACCAGAAATATGTCGTTGCTGTAGTTTATTTATATAAAATCGTATCCTCGTTCAATAGTTCGAAGATGCGTGGTAAGGTAAACAAATATTACAACACTCCGTCATAAAATGACGATCTCTATTATAACTATTTTACCTGCTTACAAAATGTTTTGAATATTGATAAAAACACCCAAATTATATGAAATATGTTTATCTGTTTTTCATGTTATTTTATTCACTTATTATTTATACTGTATTCTTGTAATTATGACCCATATGACTATGTTTTGTTTTGTATTTTATTTTTATTTGAACTGAGTAAGTCGCCAGGGTTTTTATGGTCCCTTTTCCCTGTGCTTTGACTCAATGGGCCACCCCTTTGTCTTTGCTTAAATTAAATCAGGGGTTTAAAATTAAATACTTGTGTTTCAATAAACCTGACCAATTTCAAAATATCGTTATTATCAATGTCAGTAAATACACAACGTAGAGTCCTAATTTTTATAAAGTAAGTAAAATAACTAGACGATCACGAATATGCCAAAACAAGTATTTCAGTATACTTAAAGAATCGGGTTACAAAAATACTTAGTGGACCTTACATATTATAACTTTTTACCAAATTTTATAATTTTGTAAATTTTTAACCAAACCAGCTTGGATTTTTTTAAGGAATTCGTAGTTAAAGGGTTTTCAGATTAGACACCGTTTAAGATACACAATATGGACCTGGTCCATTGGACCAATTTTAACTGTAGCACCTTAGGTATTTCTTGGTCTTGAGACAAAATTATAAAGTTAATTTCCATTTCCGTTCAATTTCCCCCCCCCCCTAGTAGGTAAGTTTGTGAATTGGAGACGGAAGTTAATATGGTTAAGAAACGTCACAAAATTAAAAATGTTTAAAAATGCATAATTTATATTGATAGATATCATTAAAATAACACCAAAAACACAATAATTTGGTTCTGAAAGGTCTTTTGATCTTTCATAAACAATAAAAGAAATAAATAAAAAATCCACTTTTGCATAGTCGATTCAACCACAATTTTTTCTTCGTACTCGGGACCATGGTAGTTGCATCCGCGTATCCCTGTTCTAGATCCAAGTGCGCTGAATTCTGTTTATTTTGGAAGAGGCGTTGCTGATGCTAATGTCCACATCTGAAGAGCTTGATCGTGCCCTCTGAAACCTCTGATGTCAAGCATTCGGTCACCCTGAGTCGTCCGGTGACGTTTTGCGTACATATCGGTCTCATTCATGTAGTAGGTGTCTGTTGAGGTGGTCATACGGGTGGTTTGGAAGTTCGTGTGCTGGTTACCTGTACTTTCAATATTTCGTTAGCCTTAATACTTAACCGGCAAATATTAAAATGTTTTCTAGTCACTCTATGTGTAAAAAATGTATAGCTTTTACTTTACCAAGACCTGCCAACATACATAAGCATTCTTAAAGGCCCCCAAAAACGTTCGTAACTTAACCTATATTAGTGTAACATAAAAATCGTTTAGTTTACCTACAATTATTAAAAACCTTACAAATTGATGTTTACGCTTATTTGAATGTATCAAAATGTATGTTTAGAAAATAAGCGTTTAACAATTATTTTTAATGAATACTAACTCACTCTGCGTGGGTTTTTTTGGGATTTGATTAAAAAAATTGAAAATTAAGAATGACAAATTGTCCATTTGTACCTTGCTATAAATTTACTGATAAAAAACAAAAAATTAACATTTCAACTTTAAAAATTAATAATATTAAAAAAACAAGATATTGTCCACATCTGTTATTAGATGGTAAGTACCTTGCCAGTAAAAACTTGTGTTGTTGTTTGTCCCTAGTAGGAGCAAATAAATTATTTACCTTCTGCCAGCCTATTTTAATACCTTAAACAGTTAATAGCCTGTCGGTATGTCCGATCACAGATACATTTTATTTAAAATAAAAATTGTTTGGTAGAAAACATTTGACCCCAGAAAAGACGTGGAGCTATATAAAAGTACATTAACTGAGGGCCTGGGGTCAGCTTATACCGACTGAACTCAATGATAGGGATGTTTTGAACAGGACTGTTCTTGACATGCAGAACATTATTATGGCAACGTATGAATAGTCTCGTCCAAATACATCAACTTCCACTGTCAATAACAGCTTAGTGGAATCGCCAAGATAAAAAATAAACTAGAAAAGCAAATGCTAAAGATTGGCTACCTTTTAAAATACTTTAAGTTTGTACAATAAGAGAGCCAGAAAATACAAAGATCACAATGGACAAAGTTCTGCAAAAACATTAAATACATCTTTGTGGATCCCAATCCCAATACGGAAACCCTTGCAGAAACACATAACTTACATTTAAACCTACATTTCCCAGGCTGTCAACTTGGTTCAAATTGTCAGAGCTTTCTCGTACCCCTCCTACGCATAAAAAGGGACTTGAGGCAACCTCTGTTGTGACTAAGAATAAAATAGGCTGGGCTGGCAAACAGTTTTAGCCTTTTTTAACGAATAATCAACCCTACTACAATAAGGCTTGAAATAGCCACTTTTCTGATAAGAATATTTGGGGCATCCTTATAACTTTATAATAAGTGACAAACGGAAAAATTGTCAATTTTTATTTTGTTTTAGCTTCCTGAATCGAATCCCAAAAGCAAGACCCTGTATAATCAAAGTTTTTGTCAGTAGCAACTTAAAGCTAAAAATAAAATGGTGGATTCTGCTGCCCCAGGGCGTAATTCAATTTTTTTTTTAATATAATTTAAAACATTTCTTTCCCATTTGATTTTTTTTTCTTAAAACGATCTTGGCTTTATTTTGAACAATCTTTCATCCACGAAATTGATTTCGGTATCAAGGAAATTTAAATAGGCTTATGTTCTATAAAATCTGTTTTTTAGTTTAAATACTGCTAAGTAGTTAAGCATTAAAGATTACGGAAAATGAATAGTTAAAGAATAATTTAAAAGCGTAGCACACTTAAGATCTCTGTTTTAAAACATTTTGGTAGTTTAAAAATATAAATTTACATTTAGGTATAGGATTTCGATAATTTGTACCATCCAAACCTCCCTTATATCCTTCACTATTTAAGGATTTCATTTAGCATTAATTTCTTATTTTTAAGTAAGGAATTGACCATATGCAATGTTTTTAGCGGAGCTAAACAAGATTAAATAAATTGGGCGGTTAACATTAAATGTGTCATATTCTTTGATATATTATATTTAAATAGTTTCTGTACCTATACAGTCATGTATACAGAGGGACTAAGTCGATTTGTCATCTGACTTTTTAAACTGTTTGAGAAAGAAAGAAAGTTAGAGGAAGTAATGAAAAATATATGACTAATGCAAAAGTAATTAAAATGAGTTAAAGAAACATTTGAATTAACCGTATTAGTTAACGTTTTTGTATTAAAAATTGAATGAAACAAAGAATGATTAGGACTAGAGTTACTTTATTATTGGTTGATTAAAGGGACACTAGTTTTAATAGAACAATATAATTGGTAACTCTTTCAACATAACTTAATTTTAAATTTAAAATATTTGTCATAATATTACTTTATTTACTCCTAACGTATAATATTGTTTTGTATGTGAATAATGATTAAAATTATAAATTCCCTGCCTAACAACGGGAATAATGAAATGATTATTTACGTTGTTAGGCATCAGTGATTGGTCGATTGGGAGTAGACGACTATAATAATATACTAACTTTCAAAATTGGTAAAAAGTACGGTTAGCCATTTGATAGATGTCATATTTTATTTATTTATTTTAAAAAATCATTTAATTCTCTACTTATTGGAGTAGATTAAGTATTCTCGATATTATGCTCATTATTCACTCGTGATTTCATTCTCTCTTTTGGCGACTCGAGACGCAAACTTCATCCTCGTGATACTATTAACGTGCAATAATAAATAAACAAATAAAACTATAACACAATTTTTATAAACAACATTTAGTAAATAGAAAAGTAAACAGGCAGTAGATACTGCAGTATTTAATATTTAGAAATAAATACTGTATTGGAAAAATAATTATTATTAATATTAATTATTATAATAAAAAGTACCCCGATACAATTGGCTGAAATTTAATGTTATTTTTCACATAGAACTTCCCTGATAAAGACTTCCATATGGTAAATTTTTAATACAAACCATTTCTTATGATGCGATTACGATCGAAAGAATTGGAGTAGGAGCGACGTTTGCTGGCCAACATTTCCCTTCGTGTTAGTGCATCCGGGCTGAGGTTAACAAACGGAAAATAAGAAAAACACTGCTTGAAACCACGGCGAAACCTACAATAAATTAAACCACTTTTAACTGCTTGGATCTTATAATTACAAATAAATAATATTATGGTGTACCCTAGGGAAAAAATCTACTATTCTGTTTGTTACTGATATCACAAAACCGATTGCTGGACACCTCAAAAACCTTATCTATCTATAAGCTCTTAAGATTAATAAGATCCTCTTCGCAATTTTTTATTTTCACATTAGTCTATAAAAAAAATGTAAATCTCACTAACAAATTAATATAAACTAAGCTCAATAAACATTTTGATAGGGAATTGAATACTTACTTACTTATTTTCGTAAACCTAGCCTTTTAAAAGTTATCTACTCATCAATTATTTATCGAAAAACTAAATAAAACTTTTTTGTGGATCAGTTCATTTCCAACAAAAATATGTAGTAATCATTTCAAGTTATACAATTTTGACGAAAAAAAATGTTTATAAATCTTAAAATTTTGACCTAAGATATATTTTATATGAGTCTCGGCCAAACAAAACTACATACATACATACATACTGTCTGTCCACTCTAAGTTGGCTGACTAAGGAATTTTGTTGTTTATATATTAAAGAATTGTCGTACTGTGTGCTTTTAAAACAGATTTTATATTATAAATAATACTAGTATATAATATGTACTAGTATTATTTATAATATAAAATCTGTTTTAAAAGCACACAGTACGACAATTCTTTAATATCTAAACTACAAAATTCCTTAGTTCCGCCAACTTAGAGTGGACAGACAGTACATATATTTTATATCGCTAGGTTTACGAAAAAAACATGGCATACCTTTTTTGTTTAATATCAAAAGTAAAAAAGAAGAATAGTCAATTTTTTAAATCACCCAAGTGCATCCTATTATAATACGAGGTTTGCTCAGAGAGTAAGGGAATTTTTTTAGATGTATTGGTCCGATTTGTGTCATGTTGTAATCGTATTGTCCAGAAAGTATGTTAAAATTTTTTGGCCTTATTATAATAATAATAATAATTTATTTCCAACAGGAATACACCCAATTACAGGAAATGTTATTAACAGTACAGAAAAATAAACAATGAACAACGTATTAGATAAATTAAAATCTGCCAAAAAAACATTCAATAATATATGATAGGGGATTATTGTGAATATCACATATATCACTTATGCTATTAAACAATGTACATATTCTAAATATAGGTAAGCATTGCATTACATTAGTTCTTGGTGCTAGAAGATAACAAGTATCAGAGTTTCTTGAGTTAAATCTTGGCACTAAGAATTTTAAAGAACTTAATAAAAATAGACAGTCTATTTTATTGTTATATAGATTATGAATAATATTTAACGCAATTATTTTTTCTGCGATCCTGAAAAAAATCCAGAGAGAATCTATTTAATAAGAAATTATTGTCTATGGCTCTTTCAGGGTAAATTCGATCCTCCTTATTATATAGTAAAGTAATATGTACATGTTTTGATAAAACCACGTTTTTTATTTGTTGAAAAAACATATTGCAATAAATTTTGTTATAAGAATGAAATAAACTGGAGCAATGTTTTACATATCGATGGTTATTTGACAAAACATCGTAAGCGACAATTTTGTTGAATTACTTTTTATTTTATCAAAGTGTCAGTTACGATAAGCTGCACATGTTAACATAATAGTTATCCCATGGGATAACTATTATGTTGCAATTTTGGAATCTAATATAGGTCATTTTGAATATTTTTATTATGGTAAGCGCCTTTTCTTTTTAATTTGTTACCGATTTATAACGTAAGCGCCTATATGTTCCCGACAAATAATCGTAAGCAATTCCGAGACATGGCGTTTGCGATTTAACATTGTGTCGCTTACGATATTCGTGAGTATACCTGCATCGTGGTGATTGCTACCAAGTTTTAAAACAATATTTTATTTAATCAAAAGCTTATAATTCCTTTTTTTTTCATTGCATTATTAATAGTTATCCTAATTATAATTGTTTTTACGTAGTATGGTTCGTTAAATTAAATTTTAACTTAAAAGTGTTTTTTATAGTAATTGTATGTTGTTCTAGCGTCAAATATTTTGACTCAAATTTATAACGGTTAGATCATGGTACCATGGGTTAGATCATGGAGCCTACACAAGGAGTCCGAACATCATGTAAACAAGAATCTTCCTAAGATAAGAGCGCGCTGGTGTTCCGTTTATTCTGAAACAATTGTTTAATTTGTACCGAAACGCTAGCATCGACAATCAGCGCCGCTGGTGGTGAAAAAAAGAAACTTAATTTGTACAATTTAAAGGGCAGGTTTTGTCAATTTTCGCTATTAAGTTCGGCCTCCCTGTGTAGGCTCCTTGGGTTAGAACACAGACCTGTGGTTTAGAAACTGGTTTGTGAATAAAAATCGTTCTTTTTTTTTCAAAGAAAGCTAATGTAGAATTTCATTTTCAAACATTGTTTGGCAAAATATCGTTGGTGATATTTTTATAAATTAAATTTTTGTAATTTTTTTTTATTTAATAAAAGTAAAAAAATAAATGTAAATCCCACAAAGTAACGTAAATGTAACTTAAGCGACAAGACTAATTTTACATTTTCCTAAAGATGTTCTTATAAAATATCGTATGCCACAAAATTTAATGAAAATTTTAGATTGGATTCGATATTACTTAAATATTTGAATTCTACATTAATAAAATAATGCCCCATCAGTTTTCAGATAAAGGACCCAAGAAGTAAAAAAAACTCACCTTTTCTTTTCTCCCCGCTTCACCTATTTATACAGGGCCATGCAAAAGTTACTGTGCACACCTAACTTCGTAAGGGTAATTCCGTTTATTAGCCACCAATGAGTGCACCTCGTAAACTCTAATTTTATTTCTTTTTTAACTGTAAATAGACATGTACGCAAGAAGTGAAAAAAACTCCCCTTTTCTTTTCTCCCCCTGTCTCCTATTTATACAGGGCTACTCAAAAGTTACTATGCAGACCTAACTTTAAAAAATTGTACTTCTTTTGCTAATAAAGCTATCGACATTAAACAAACTGTTAATTGTTAAGAAAATATTTCTCTTTTAAACCATATAGGACACATTTAGTTATTGATACCCTAAATGGTCTTTGGGAATTTTTTTAAAAATGCAATTTTTTGTCAAAATTGTCTAATTTTATAAATTCATATATTCTTAGAACAACTTGCCAGCAAATTTTTTTAATGTAGTTTGTTACCAAAGATCTTACTCTATATAAAAGCAATAAAAACATTTTCAAATAATATTGGCTAAGAGTTCAAAAAAATATAATAAAAATTCATGTTTTCGAAAAATCACTATTTTCAGTCATTTCATAGTTTAAAAAGGCTATGTTTGAGTGAGTCGATTTAAACCAATTTATGCTTATCATCACATGCACTTATTAGCCTCAAATAACCATGAATAAAATTATTGTGTATTTTGCTTTTTACTGGGCTGTGGCTGTATCATCTACAGCCCAGCTATAAGCAAAATACACAATATGGATTATAATTTTATTAATTTTATTATTATAATGTAAATTATATTAATATAAATCCATATTATTATATTAAATATATATTTTATAAAAAAATATATATTATATTAATATATATTTTATAAAAAAACTCGGTAGGTAGCAAGACTTAAATTGAGTTCTTCGCAAGAGACCATTTTGTTTTAATAATTAAAATATTTTTAAGATACCTATTGAAATTTTTACATATTCATAAAAACTAACCTACTTACTCTAAACTAATTTTTTACCTTTTGTAAATAAACAAAAACTAAAATAATAAATTATTAAAATGTGCATAATTTTCTAAAATTTAAAAGTGTCCAAAAATGGATTGTTTCTTTGGAAAATTAATTAATGAAAAATGCCATAAATAGTTATTTATGTATCAAGGCAGTAAAGTCGTAATTATTTGCCGAGGCGAAAGCCGATGCAAATAACCACGTGAGTGATAAAAAATGACTTTAATGCCGAGGTGCATATTAAATTTTATCTGAAATCACATTTAATAATACTAATAATTAATATTAATTATTAAATCAAATGTCATTTGATGATCAAATCAAATTTCATTTGAATGTATGGTGTACGTATACGACGGTTATTATATATTTGCCCGCCGCGGCGATTTTTTAATCTAATTAATAAAATTAACTTATTTAAGTTCTACTTTACTGCCGATTTCTTTTACTTTACTGCCGATTGTTGACTACTTTACTGCCGATTTCGGATAAAAATATTTTTCGCGATTTTCCAAGATTGAATCTTGTACTAAATAAATAGGTTTTTTAGGTGATTGTAAAAGTTAAGAATATGATTTGTTCAGTTTAATTATATGCAGTTAGGTTTAATTCAAATTTAATACATGTTTTATTTTGTCTAAATATAAAGTTTATGAAAAGTCTTAGTCATTTAATTAATTTTTGTACATGTGATTATGTTTTCTTAATTTAAAAATAAATAAATGGGTAGTTAATTTTCGACGCCACTGTATGTGGTTTTTATATTTTATATTTTTATTCAGAATGAATTAAAAGTCAATTCAAGGCTTTTCGAATTATATGGTTAATTTAGTCACAGGTGGAGATATACATCCACAGCCCAGCTAAAAGAAAAATACACAATAATTTTATTCATGATTATTGGAGACTAATAAGTGCCTGTGATGATAAGCATAAATTGGTTTAAATCGACTCAAACATTGTCTTTTTAAACCATGAAATGACTGAAAATAGTGATTTTAAAAACATGAATTTTTATTATATTTTTTTGAAATCTTAGCCAATAATATTTGAAAATATTTTTATTGCTTTTATATAGAGTAAGATCTTTGGTAATAAACGACATTAAAAAAATTTTGCTGGAAAGTTGCTCTAATAATATATGAATTTATAAAATTAGACAATTCAGGTGGGCATATTGTGTATTTTGCTTATAGCTGGCCTGTACATACAGCCACAGCCCAGTTAAAAGCAAAATACACAATAATT